ATATATATATATATATATATATATATATATATATATATATATATATATATATATATATATATATATGTGTGTGTGTGTGTGTGTGTGTGTGTGTGTGTGTGTGTGTGTGTAATTTTGGTCTGTATATATAAACATGCACGTAATGCAATCCAAGCTTGGATAGGTTAATCGGCTTGGAATGGACGTCCAAATCGACTACTTCAACATCACTCGGCGACAATTGGATGGACTGCTGGGGAAGGCCAAAGCAAAGCAGTTCTTGTGGAAGAAGGCCATCTTCTCCATCACCATCGGATCCAATGACTTCCTCAACAACTATCTTCTCCCCTTCTTCTCCGCGGGAGAACGACTCATCGACTCACCCGATGGCTTCGTCAACGACCTCATCACCAGCATGCGCAGCCAACTCATAGTAATTTCCTCGAACACTTGGTCGCTCCTTCCCATACCACCCAACTAATCCCTCACTTACTCTCTCCGTGAAATCCATGGCAGCGGCTGTACTCGCTCGACGCGCGAAAGATCGTGGTGTCCAACGTAGGACCCGTCGGATGCATCCCTTACCAAAAGACCATCAACCGAATCAAGGAGAACGAGTGTGTCAGCTTGCCCAACCTGCTCGCCGTTCGGTACAATGCCCAGCTGAGGGACTTGCTCGCCGAGCTCAATGACAACCTCCCCGGAGCCAGATTTGTTCTTGCCAATGTGTATGATCTGGTGATGGAGCTGGTCACGAACTATCGATCCTACGGTAAGCATCGTTTCGGGTTCGGCTGGAATCACTGAAGGTGTTCGATCGTGACACACCGGACTGTGCAGGCTTCAAGACTGCGAGCTACGCGTGCTGTGGCAATGGCGGGCAGTATCAAGGCATCTTTCCGTGCGGACCGATGTCGTCCATGTGCGAGGATCGCGCAGGCTACGTTTTTTGGGATCCCTATCACCCGAGCGAGGCGGCCAATCTCTTCCTTGCCAAGTATATTGTTGATGGGGACTCCAAGTATGTATCTCCCATGAATCTTCGACAACTCCTGCGGCTTTGACGTGTAAGTGATGTGTTCTGATGGCTTCGCGTGTTAATCTTGGTGTTCTTGTAACATGAAATCTATCAAGGGTTCATCATTGAAGCCACTGCACTACTTATATGACTTATATAAGTGGGGAAGGTTTGATGCTTTGGGCCAAAAGGTGGCATCAACAACCTGCTTTAGGAACAGGAAGAGTAGAGTAACAACCAATCAAAATCTTCTCTCTTCCAATTTGGGAGTTGTAATGTAAGCCACAATAACATAATGTCAATCCACAGAGACACAAAAACTTATACATAATTGTTATGTTTCTCTAAGCTCAAGCTCAAGACTAGAGAACAGCAAGGCCATTCCCAAGCACATTTTGCCACAGAGCACACAGATATAACTCACTGGCCCATATCTTTCTTCTTCTTCTTCTTGTTCTTTTTCTTGCTTGCCGAATCACCTGCTTCTTGCACTTCTTCAGCCTGCTTCTTCTTTTTCTTCTTCTTTTCCTCTTTGCTAAGTTCCTCTTTGGATTCTGGAGCAGCACTGTCATCACGGTTTGCTAACTCTGACGCATGTGCTTCGTCCTTCTTTTTCTTCTTCTTTTTTTTCATCGGCTCCTCTGCTTCATCAATGGGAATTTGATTGACAGTGTCAACTGACTCGACCTTCCTTTTCTTCTTCTTCCTTTTCTCCCCTTCGCCATCGCCCTCCTCTTTCAGAGAGCCTTCAGCTGCTTCTCCAGTAGGTGCCAGTTCTGCTTCGCCGTGCTTCCTCTTTGGTCGTGCCACTTCATGTTCACTATCTGGCTTCTTTGGAGCTGGATCAGTGGTTTGCCCAAGCACAAGATCAGCTGAGGGATTATATGTCTGCAGAAGCAAAGAAAAACAAAAAAAAACTGTTTAATTAATTTCTTGAACAAGAATGTCATATTGATTGTGTATGTATATGAAAAAAAATAAAAGCAAATTATAAATTCAAGTAATAGTGATCATGTGCAAAATGTATGGTAACCCTTATTTTACTTGAATACAAATACATAATAGGCGCTTGCACTTCCGACTTTATTGAAATCAGTGTTTGTGGGCGACCATAACAGAACTTTATGGGCTCTCTAGAGGGCTTCTTCCTTGAAATATAATTTTGCAAGATTTTTTTACTAGAAAACAAATCAGAAGGCTGAATTAGGCAATATGGCCACTCATACCTTTGCTGGAGTGATCAGAGCCCCTGCACCCTTCTTTCGATCCTTATCATAAAACTCAATCTTGGGCTTTCCTTTTGTTGAACCAGCAGAGCGACCCAATTCTCTGCCCTCAAGAACCCTAAGGCGAGCTTCGAGCTGTTCAAGAGTTTCAAAAAATGTCATGTCAACACAAATATACATATATCCCTTGGAGGTATGAGGTCCCACCATAAATGTTACCTTAGCTCGATTTTCCAATCCCATAGTGTTGTCTTGACCATCTCCAAGAGCATCATACCTTATAGCCAAAGCAGTTTTTGCAGCAAGAGAACGAGAAATCTTCCCTTTAATTTTTGGTGCAGCCTGACCAATTAGAGATGCATGGAAGATAAGCCCATATTTTGGTGTAGCATGTTTGGTCTTGAGAGCTCTGAACAGGGCCTGCATATGTCAATAAAGCACATATGATTATCAACATCTGCACAAGGAAGAAGAAGCTAGAAACAATGAAATCTTTGCGATAAGAATTATGGTTCTCTGAAGATATCAGATTTTCTTTGGCTATAATGATTAAATGGAGAAGAATGCACATGGGTATTCCACCTCATAAGGAGCTGACATAATGACTGCCAACTGCAGCAAACAACATACCACATAATTATGTCCCAACTATTTGGGTCAACAATATGGATCCAATACTAATATTGAGTTATATACAACACAATATCTCAAATTAAACCAAGATCACTCAAATTTTAATCTTGTTTTTAGAAGTCTTATAGGTCGTACTCTACCTCTCCTTGCACCAATAATAGCAATTGACACAACTTCTATATATCCCCTTGGAATGTATCTATACAAGGACGACGATAACAAAACTGTAAATCCCAACTGTTTAGGGTCGGATACATGGATTTTTTGCCATCATTGAGATATGTAAAATTGTCATATGTTTAATTACATTCATTATACATAAATCATTTTTTTATAATTTCTATTAAAGTCTTTTTAGGTCTTCCTCTCCCTCTCCTCTTCCCACTACTATTAATCATTTCACATTTTCTGACTATCGCATCCGAAAGTGTCATAAGCACATAGTCATACTATCTTAAACGATTTTATCTCATCTTATCCTCTGTCGAAAAGATATCTAATTATTCACAAATAAAAATATTTTTTCTTATTTTTCTTAGTAGCTCGACACATCCATCTTAGCATTCTCATCTTGGTAACACAAATTTTTTGTATATGTTGTTTCTTAACTATCCAACACAAATCCATAAAGCATTGTTGATCTCATAACTATCTTATAAAATTTTTATTTTAATTTCAAATGTATCCGATGATCACACAAAACTCCTGACGCCCCTCGCTATTTTAACCATCCTATTTTTACTCTATGAATAATACCTTCATCGGTCTCTCCATCTTATTGAATAATTGATCCATGATATCTAAGATTTTTACTTAAAGAGACTTCTTATCCATCCAACTTAATTATATTTTCATGTCTATTTCTAGAATCACAAAAATTATATTTTACATATTTAGTTTTAGTCTTAATCTAAAACCTTCAGTTTCTAAGGTCTAACTATATTTTCATGTCTATTTCTAGAATCACTAAAATTATATTTTATAGATTTAGTTTTAGTCTTAATTTAAAACCTTTAGTTTCTAAGATTTGCCTCCATAGTTCAAATTTATAATTAATTTCACTTAAGCTCTCATCAACTAAAACAAAATCATCAGCAAATAACATGCACTAGAGAGGTTTATCATGTAAGTGACTAGTAAGTTCATCAATTATGTAGGGGCTTAGTATGGATCTTTGATGTAATATTGTGCTAATAGAGAACTCCATGAACACACTATATATAGTTCTAACACTAAACACACTCCCTTAATGTATTCCTTGGAATGTACCAATATCTTATATAATTCTTCCTTGTTTTATACTCTCTCAAGGAATAACCCTGAGTGTTATATCCATGTTAGAATGTAAGATTCAGACATTAGACATTATTCATGTAATGAAGACCTCTGTAAATACCAAAATCTATACCTTGCATTATCACTCAGTCTAACACAATAAGCATGATTCATAATGGCGTTTTCCAAGACCGGAAGTCTAGTTGTAAAAAACAATCAAAATTAGGCCTAGTTGTGGAAACCAGTCAAAATCTACCAAAAAATAGAAATTAATTATCATCGGCTAGGTTTTATTTGTCAAAAATCAGGTGACGTCCACTAGGAATCATTGAACTCAAAGTTGCCAGATTTTAGCCAAGTCTAGTCAATTTCATAGCTTCAAACAAAGAGACAGAAGCTATTTGGGAAAGGAGGGAAAAAAATTAAAACAAAGACAAAGAAAAAACAATTGACTATGAATAGTGTAAAAGACTCAATTATTAATGCATCTGCATTTGCTGCAACAATAACATTCATCGACCTTCATCATTGTTGCATTATTGTTCACTATCATCTACGACAAAGGAAAAGAGAAAATAACGAAGATAGTAGAAAAATGTCATGTGATTAGAAACTAATTTGAAATCCTATGTGTACTCTATTAAAATAATTTATTGTCTTTGCATTGCCTCACACTTTACCAGCATAGTGATCAGAGAAGTATTGAGATCCTAGTAAAGCTAATCATTAAATTCAAACTTGTAAGTGAATAAATTATATTTTTATCAAATACAGAATAATTATGATTTCATGACCTACTCTTCATTATTTCAGATTTTTTAGTATTTTCTATCTCAAATTCATGTTTTTACAAAAATGTGTATATTATAAGTATAAAGCTATAAGAATCTTATAAAATTCAATATTATCATGTTCTGAATAGTGTTTTATAAAATTCAGCTGTGAGATCAGCACACTTCCATGACAAGTCATCACATGAAAATGATTGTTTGTTTATAGCAGAAGTGAACTGATATAACCCAATCCATACTAAAGCATCTAGGTAAAAGTTAAAATTTTACCTAGCATGTTTCATCCAAATTTATATTTTTAGGAACTCTTAATATTTTTCATCCATAAATTCCTTGTAAGTTCAGAATTTTAATTATGATTTGCATGACTCTTAATTTTATTTTAGGGCCTCGTCTTTTATTTGAAAATGATTTGCATCAGTCAATTTAATTTAGGGCCTCATATTCTACTCAGCTGAAATGTTTGAAGATATTAATCATATTTAAGAATATAACCCAACTAGTGACAAGGTTTTCTGCCTTCAACAGTTTCTTGTAAAGATCTCCGGTGTTCTTCCACTTCTAATATAATTTCTTATTACTTCAATAGTTTCCGTCCCATCACTTTTCATATGTCCCATGTCTTCTCCAATATCATTTTTGCATATCTTAGTCCTCCTTCATGCTTAGAAACCAAAATTCATTTTGTATAGAGGCTAAAATTCATCCAGACTTCGTCTCAACATAGTTACTTGGAAAGCTCCATGTCCCAGATAACAGGAATGGGATATGCCACCTATCTTGATATACATGAGAACTTGAGAAGCACTATTATTATTAGGATCAAATACTATATTAGCTCTAAAGGCATATTTGTTCTTGTATCTGAAACATTATTTCTTGTTCTAGAAATCAAAAATAGGACATCTATGAAACAATTCTTGTTCTCAGTTACTGAAAATGTTTCAATATCTACAACTACAAGAAGAATTAGGGTCTTTTTCATTTGTTCTCACCCATATAATCCTGTTTACATCCAAATACGTTCTCCTAAAACAGTTCTCATGAACCTCTTCCAACTTGTTTTAAGAGAACATCTCTCATTGTTCTCAAGAATAAAGTTCTGAGATTCTCTTGTTTGGAAAGTAAATAAGATACCTTTGTCTTACTAGTCATTAGCTTTATGTTTAATAAGGTCCCAAAACCAATGGTGGAAGAAAACTAACAAGCTTTGAACTGGATTTCAATTGTGTAGATGCTATGTTAGTTTGAGTATTATTCTTGTATGGAGATAGCCAATGCATCAGTTCTTAACCATATAAGATTAAACAATACTTATTAAACTGTGATCATTTATTTCAACAACTTCACCGTTTAGGAAAAAGTGCCACAAATCTGAAACACAACTGCAGATCATAATCCGTAGGTGGTACAACCCCCTCATGGACCAATGGGGTTAAGTACCAACCTCAAATGGGACCAATGTATTAGAGTCATGCCAATCCAGGGTCTGAGAAGGGTCAGTATATACAGCAATACCCACAATAAGAAGAGAGGCTATCCCATGACGCTGCTATTAGATGAGATAAGCACCACCCCTAAGCAATACAATCAAAGTTCATTCGCTGAATGAGAAATACAGATGCACAAGCAAAATCATCGATTGAGTTGGTATAGATTAGAAGGACATGCATTCAACTAGAAGCTAAAGAAAACCTAAGAATAGATAAATACATTAGATCCAAAGCAAGGAAATACTTAAATTATAATACATAAAGCCATTATGAAAATATGTGAATTTCTAGAAAGAATAAAAAATTTTAGAATAATCAAGCTTCAAGAAAGTGAGTAGTGTTATGTAACTCAAATTGCTTTTTGGATATGAACGGTTAATAACAGGGACAAACTAAAATTATACAGATTTTTGTCATAATAAATATAATATCTTAATCCAAGTTTATGAAAGAAATATTGAAATCTGCAATACTGGATTAGGGTTTCAAGGAATAAGCCAACACAGATAATTGATGCAAGGCAGTCATAAAGCATTAATTGTTTTGTTGCTAACATCAACATACGAACTACATAAACAACAAAACAACAATGATTTCAGATTACAGGTCATCTAAAGATTTGAAAATTATAAGAATATAATTTTTGCTAATTGCAAAAACCAACACAACAATATATAAGAATAACCAACCACCAAATAGTATTTCTAGGCATAAGCAATTGACGCAAAGGCCACGGTGGAACTGTATAAGCAGCAACCAGAAACATACTCATTCAAGCTTGGAAATCCAAAAATTATATTACTTGATAATGACACAATTAATATAGGATGATTAGATGCCACCTTTTTTAGTAAAAGAATCCTTATTACTACTGTGTGATATATTCATGAGAGGTCTTCTAAAGTTTAGGAGGACATGATAAAAATGCCAAAGGCATTGAATCAAGAACATACCTTTTCTGCACCAAGAATCTGAACTGTGCTACCTGGTTGCTTTGCAAGATTCAATAAACTACCGCCATGAGCAATAAGACGAGCTCCAACAAGCTCCCCAACAAGAGCAGTCAGATTTGGTGCAATGGTATTCATTCTACTTTTAAGGTAATCATAAAGCTGCGCTCTATACTCTGAAAGAGCAAGAACTTGGTCGCAGAGTTCTTTAATATTTGCTAAGTCCAGGTCACTAACTTCAGTTCCCATTGAAATCACTGCAGCTTCTTTCAGCTCAGCTTCAGTATCTTCAGAGAGTACCTGTTAGAAAAAAATAACTGGCAATTAGAACCGCTCTTTTGTTTCAATAATTTTCTAAGAGAGTCAGTGATTTACCTCAGAGAAATCAAGATTGACAGCATTCGTACGGTTTCCCATCAGCTTTACTACCTTTGCATACTGAATATTGTCCTGTACGATCTTCGAAAGCTCTGGAAAATGCCACCCATACCATTCGCGAACTCTCATGGCATACGTATTGAGCTCCTTGTCAAGATCATCTAACAAACCTATGGCCTGAATAATCATTGTGTCCACCTAATAAGATCACAAGACAAGCAGTTATAAAAGAATCCAAAACATATGTCAACCAAAAACAAATTAGCCATATACAGATCTCCAAGCTTTTAGGCATATTAAGTCAAGGTACATTGAAGTTACACTCATGAAGAAAGATAAAAATGTACAGGATTAGAATTAAAATGTGGTCCACAAAGATGTGAAACTGGAAAGGTACAAGAATGTACATGCTGGCATTGCTATTATTTTCATCAGTTAGAAAATTCCTTGCATAAGAATTTTGAAACACAGAAAGAATTGAGCATTTCAACTGACACACCCTAGCACAAATTGCAAACAATAAATTAAGGACTCACCTTATCAGGGCTGAATTTTAGCTTGTATCTAGATAAGCTGTGTGACAATCCCAAACTCATTGGAGCTAAATCTTGCACAGCCAACCCAGATATAAGTTCCGTCAGTTGGTTCCTAAGCCCTCTCATTAGTTCCATCACAGCATTGTTGTGGAGGCAATCAATTTTCTGTAGATCAACCATTTACTATTGTACTTTAACATGAAAAACTGAGATTCTGCAATGATCAAACCAAGCATGTTATGCAACACACAACTAACCAGCTTCTCCTTGATGGCATTTCCAAGTTTTGAATCAGCCACAGCCAAGGTTTCGCCATCACAGTGGGCACGTAAGAACTTCCTGAGACCCTTGCTGGGCTTGCTATCAATCAACAAGGTTGCAGCAGATAATGCATCAGAAGTGTTCTCAAATTTATTGAAAGCTTTCAGCTTCACGATCTGATGAAAGAACAACAAAGTAAAAGCATTATGATCACAGACAAAGAATTTGATAAGCAAAATCCATCGAGACTGATGTTTATTGTTCCAAACTACAATTAGACAGAAACAAGTGTCGTAAAGCAACCAATGGTATATAATGGTCGCATCCACTACTTGAAAGAATAATTCTATCTGTGATGATAACGCATAAATAAGCAAAAAAAGGAAAAAAAACAGAACAGAGAAGGCAACATATGCAGTGACCTGTCTAGCCGACTCTGATGTAGCAAACTCCTTCCACAAATCCTGAAATAGCAAATTGTGGAAAACGGTAAAGCAAGCAAGCCAAATGAACACGAGACGAAGAAGATCATAACAACTCAAAGGATAAATCGACAAATACTGGGTAAAAGACGTTGTCACCTCAACTTTATCCAGCTTCCCTTCATCCAAAACTTTGAACAGGGCTAAGCCCGCAGGGGTTTCGAACAACACCAACATCTCCGAGTCAGCTCAACACCACCGACCTATATCATCTCATCGAATCAGGAATGAAGCAACGATCAAGAAGAATAAAAGAAAAGAAAGTCTTCTCACAATACAGAAGATGGAAGCAGAACTTCAAAGGGGTCATAGCACCAAGATGAAAACTTTTCAACTCAAAACAAGGAAAAGGAAAACGAAGAACCAACACCGTGATTCCATAGCTACGGAGACAGAATGGTTCGAGTTCATGGTTTCGGATTAGAAGTGGAAGGTCGATCAAGAAGAGGAGAAGAGGAAAACTAACGGAACCGGATTGACAAGGGTTTACCGTCTTGGGTCGACGGAGGATTCCGAGCGCAGGGAGGGAAGAAGGCGAGAGCTTGCTAACCTTTGCAGCTTTGCTCGCCCGGAGGAAGCGGTGAGCGGCGCCGCTAACGTTGGAGGCGCCGAAGACCGATCGGGAGATTGAAGGGTTTTTGGAGGGTTCTTAAATAGACACAGGAGAGGGGAGGGGCGGAGAAGGAATCCGACCGTTGGAATACGCAGCAGAGAAATCCTGACCGTACGATGGCAATAGTGGGCCGAGATGGTTATCGGATCCGGATCCCGAATACTTTTCGGATCAGACCGCCCCTTCATCACACAGATAGCTCGTTTAACACCCACTTTTATGGGAATAAACTACGAAAATATACGGTATTATTACTTATACATTGGCTATATGTTTAGAATAATGAAGAAATTGCTTATTATTAATTATTGACAATGATTATCTTCTTTGATACTCCATTAGCAAGTCATTAATTGTGGAATGAGAGTATTAAGAGCGTTGGGGGTAGAAGGAGAAGAGTATTAATACTGGTTAGATTTGAGCTGTATTTCTACTATAAACCGTACTAGCAATAATTTTGGCATGAACCATCAAAGGCCTAAAAATCCTGAGACTGACTTCTCCAGATGTTTTAAATGAGGTTCGAAGTAGTAACCGTGTCATGGTCTTTATGTGGTGGTGTGAAAGTTGGTATGGTTTAATTCGATCATGATCCTATTAGGGCATCCACGTAGGTGTTCCAAGGCATAGATGAGGGTGAGGTCGAAGCGATAGTAGGTGTCTCTTAGGTTGACCCGAGGAGAAGTTAGGATTGCCTCTGGTGCTGAGTCCTTACACAATAAGTCGATACTGGGAGGAGGATCCCCGGCTCAACCCTTTCGAAACTTAAGTCAAATTTTTATTATAATATTAAGTATTTGAGATCCGTAAGGGGTCAACGTTTATACCTCTCCCTAAGGGTCACATGTAAATTGTTAATAACCGTTGACAGTCCAGGTGATCGATTCGTCTACTTCTAATGGCATGGGCCGACTATTACGATTTCGTGCCCTAAGAGGTTGCTTTGTACGATCTCGGGCACGACTATGTCGTTCTTGAGTTTGCTGCGTCGCTTCGAGGTTGTAACACACGTGTGCACCATATCGATTCTGAAACGCAATATTGATTTTCAAGTGGTTACCGACTATCGTTGTGAGGTGATACCAGATTATTTTCTATAGGTTTTGTATTTTGCTTTCCCAACTAGAACTCCCCACGTATAAATAGTCAATTTATATTTTTTTATTTAATTAGGGGGCTCCCTATACATATTATGTTAATATACAAATTTTGTAAAGTCCTTGTTTTTTTTTTTTTTTTTCCCGAGAGAGAGACTCAAGTAGCTAATTGTAATTTGTGGCGATAGTTAACAGAATATTTAGGTGAAATGCTAGGATGTGGGAAGAAATCCCCGTTCCAAACAATGTCTGAATCATAATAGCAGAGTACTAATTTGACTGATATATTTAGAAAATGATGATACTTGATTGAATATATCAACCTGATTTTATGCTAAAGATGCTACATTAATAAGCCAAAATCTCTAGGAGAGGATTACACCTAATTAGCTAAGTTCCAAGCTACTAACACAACCGGAGAGAGTATGTGAATCCATGTAAGCATCAACCTCAATGAATTTTAGCTGTGTGACTTTAGTATTCTGATCGTTAAATTTTTAAAAGTTACATTCACATCGTTATAGTTACGAAAATAAAACATTCAAGTTCATTTATCCTAAGTCATCGATTTTACCAACGATAATACTAAAAAAAATAATAAAATAAATTTTAATATTTCAATTAGTGATGGTGATGCCACTAGAGACTAGGGATAGCTATTATGGATAAAGAGAGCAATAGTGAAAGATGAGGACTGCTCTATATCTACATCACGATGTAGAGCAACGCCACTCAACACCTTTGTCGATGGCCCTTTCATCGCTCCATATATGTGTCGCCGCCGATACAATTACGGAGTGACGTCACTAAACAACTACGTCAACGTCGATGCGGAGCAGTCCTAACTTTTTGTTACCACTCTCCTCATCCACAACAATCACCTACGACCCCCTAACGATGTCGTCGTTCGTCACCACTAACTAAAATGTTATAATTACCTTTTTTCTATTTATTTTCATATTTTTATTAATAAAACTAATGACATTAGGATAAATTGATCTAGATATTTTACTTTCGTAACTATTAGAATATCAATATAATTTTTTTAAAATAAAATAACTGAAACATTATACAAGAGATAAACTATAGTTAGCTCAAAGTTTTCTTTTATTATTTATATTTCAAAAATATATAGAAGCATTAATAATCTGAAGTTCATATAAAAATAGAACTGTCGATGGAGCAAATTAAAAGATGATGAATAATCAATCATAATCTATACTTAGCTCAAAGTTTTCTTTTATTATTTATATTTCAAAAATATATAGGAGCATTAATAATCTGAAGTTCATATAAAAATAGAACTGTCGATGGAGCAAATTAAAAGATGCTTGATGAATAATCAATCATTCCTAAATATTTACACAACTCAGCGTAAAAACTAAGAGAGCATACATAGTTTATCAACAAGAATATACGCTTGTTTCAACGTGCAATAATGCGCCGCTAAGCAGAGCCAAAATGGGCCACCACCAAAATGGTTCATCTGCGTCAAGCCAAACAAAGTTTGGCTTAAATCTGATTTCATAATCAAGACAATTTGCCTATCTCTGGTCTGAACTATATCCGAATTAAAAGGTTAGACTAAATGAAACGACAGCATTAGTCTTCATATGAGAATCAATCTGACATATAGAAGAAAACCAACACATCAAGAGAAACTGAATCCTGTAATGTGCACACACATCTATAAGGTAATCCAGAAGTCTCTATTATGATAATTCTAACCACAGTTGAAGCTCATTCATGTTGTGCTCTAGGCCTTCAGATGTCGTAGCTTGTTGGAAGCAATGTTCTATTAAGGTAAAGATTCAGTGATCCATCCACTCAATGACAAAACAGAGCGGAATGGGAACAAATTGATTTTAATGCCACCACAGGCATAGCCACATGTATATATCCATAATATAGCCTACATTCATAAGGATATACGAAATATTTTTCTTGCTGCAGTACGATGTTTGACCACAGGAAGGCAATATCCAGCTATCAAGATGATTACAGCTTGTCTTGCGCTCCAAGGTAGTCATTCCCTGGATCACCTCATCTCCTCCTCCTCCCCTGACAAAAGCAAGTTGCAATTATTTTAGTTACTGCAATCCATCATATCCTCTTAAGTGGTCAAGAATCTTTTACAAGCTACATCTGTCAGCTAAGTATCATCACTCGGGTATATTTAATGTCCACTTATCTTAAACAGAGCAGATCAGCAGAACACAACAAGCATTAAAAAAAAATTCAAATACTAGACTGACTTATCATGCATAAATATCAAGGTTCATCATACCATGACATACCCGTCCGGTATAGACGGTACATACCAATCCGACAAAAGATCGATATGGATAGTACATACCGATCTGTCGATATGTCCCACCATATTATGTGCCAATATATCAGTACAAATTGGTACGTATCATATCAATAGTGAATAGATACATCGATACAAACCGATAAGACAAATCATGATATATATCACAAAAATTAATCCACTGAAAATACACAACATCGACAGGGCTTACCGAGCTCATATAGTCATCCATGGATGATTGTTTTCTTCTTTTGAAAGAGGTCAAAGCAGGAGTTTCCATAGCTGGTGCCTTTGATAATGACCGTTTTGTTGGTGTCTGAAAGGTAAAAAAAGTTCAACAAATGTTAGAAGGACAATGGAACAGTGATGTTAAAGAACATTAAGATGAGTGGGCTACAAGCTCTACATGCTGCCCAAAAAATGGTATGCAACCATGAGACCAGGATAACTTTCGTTATTTTTTATGATCGTGAGAACACACTATGCAGGTAACAGAAAATTTTGATACTATCTGAAGACTGTAATTCGAGAGACATGAATCACAACAAATTGAAGAATAAGGGACGAGGATATCCAATTTATGAAGCCAACATAGGAAATTGATTGTACCCTAGAAAGTTTTTTATCTTTCCGTGCTTGTCTCTCCCGCTCATCATACTCTTGATTTTCTTTCTCTACCAGACGAATAAGGGTATCACAGCGTCTAGCAAGCTCCTGAGTTGTACGAGACTTTACAAACCAATCAAACCGGAACAAAGGTGAAGTACGGAATGCTGCTTTGAGCTCATCCCAGTTACCATAACCAAGTTTATGCACCATGCACAACTGAAACAATTGATAGCAAATGTTTAGAAGTGTTGGAAAATACAAGAGGGAGTTTAAGTATAAAAGGATAACGGAGCTTAAACTACCATAAAGCGATCACATTCCTCGTTATACAATTTTCCTTTATTTTGGCCATACTGAATTTTTAGTTCCAACCATGGGTTCTTGTAGCGATCCAACTTCTTGCCAATTGCTCTCATTATTTCTTCTTTGCGAGAGATCCTTGCTTCACCCCTTTCTATGTTCTTCATAATACGATCATAATCTGGAAAAGTCACCAAATAAGATCTTAGTAGGTACAAGAGCACTTTCTATAAACAATTTTAAGTTTCCACAATACTTAAAACATAAATGCTATATACTTGGAAGAGAAATCACTTAGGTAGGCATTGAAATATAAGTACCATTTAATTCCTTGTATCTCTGTCTGAAGACCTTGGCATATCTTTCTACTTCCTCTTCTGTTTTGGCCTCCATTTCCAATGCTATACTCTTTATGTCATTGCGGCCATACTTCTCACATGCTCGAATGAATGTATTAAAATCTTTCCTTGTCCATGTTGAAAAACCCTGGGAATATAGAAAGCAACTTTTAGAAAGATTTTCATTATCAGTATGAACATCACCTAGTGGACTCACCTCTTCCAACAACCGTTCCTTCTCTTCCTGTTCCTCTGCAGTCAGCGGCTCACCTAAGTCTGGTTCGACCAAATATAGTATTTTAAATGATCATTGAACCAAGAATACATGTGAAAAAATAAAGTCAGTACCTTCAGGT